TCTTTAAAATACAGAGTTTCACAGCATTCCTTTAGGAACCTCCAACATGGAAACTCTGGTTATTCATCCTAAAATGAATCCTCTTCACCTGGAGCTTCAACATTTGCTGTTTGCTGGGGAGATGTGTAGCCAAGTCAGAGTACATCTGACTTTGGGGATATTTCTTCATAGCCAAACAAAAGTGTATTTTCTGTGCAGTTCACACCCCTTGCTTGCTGGATCTGGATGTCACAAAGCAAAGCCCACATTTTGTAATTAACCTCCACACCCCATTTTGGCTGGCAGAGTGCTGCTGCCATGCCCCCTGCCCACACCCACATCATCCCCATGGAAATTAGATTATCACAGCTCTATTGGCCTTTCTTAAGGCCTTGGAGACATCTCTATGTCACCACGGATGGTGGCTGGGCTGTATAGCAGAGCCTGTGAGGCGGTTATTTAAACGTTGACTTGATAGTGTTTTGGTTTTATTTCAGCTGCCAATTATGTATTATGTTTGTGTGTGTGTCATTTTTAACTTTTGGTAGCTACCTGGAGTCATGTTTTGATATTGTGAAAGGATAGGTTGCCTACAAAATGGCCACCCCCTGTGACCGCTGTCTCTTTAAGACTTCTTTGTAGCCAGCATAGCAATTGCAAGCTATAAAAGTTGAGCAGAGAGACAGCTGGGTGTGGTGGTGTTTCTGTGTGGGAAAGAGAGAGAGAAAGAGGTAGGTAGGTATATGTTTGTAAAGCAGCCTGAAGCCGATAGAAAGAGATACTATTCTCCAGCAGTAGGACTCACACTGACCCACTGACTTGGGTATACTTTAAAAAACCTGTAACAGAGAGGATGAAATAAATCTCATTTCTTTATTATTTAGTAAATAATAGATGGGGACAGCTGATTCTGACTTCTTTATTTTGTGTTTGTAAAATAGAACAAAAGTCACGTGCTATATAAAATGTTGCCTTTCTCTGCAGTCCCATCCAACCCAGACTGCGTTCTTATCCAGCGTTGATCTCCACACGCATTGTTCTTATCAGCTGATGCTGCCAGAGGCCATTGCAATTGTTTGTTCACCAAAACATAATGAGTGAGTCTGAGTTTCCCTTTCCCTCCTCAGATAACTACGTTCCTATAATGTGTTTGCGTTCTATGCTGTGTGGTCTTAGTTTATTGTGTTCTATCTGTGTCACCTGTAAAATGTTCAAGAAGGCAAGGGGAAAAAAGGAAAATACATATTGTATGAGTTTTAATCTTTACAGATAAGGGTATACTTTTTAGAATCAAATTTAATTCCTGAATATTCTGTGTTATGTTATGCCTTCCCATACTGCATTCTTTCTGCTTTATTAAACCTGAATGAACAGAGTTTTATTATTGAAACTCAAGTTCTCAAATCACCTATCTCACTTTTTAGTGTTTTGAAAAAAATATATTAGGACTAGGTGCATAGACATAGAGGTTTAATAGATGTCTTCTCCCCAATGGACCACAGAAAGAAAGAAACCTCTGTGAATCCTGGTCTGTGCTCCAATCCATGTTACTATAGTCCAGAAATATCTCATTAAATGGTAGTCACTCTTCTACGTTTGTGGTCTTCTCAAGTATTTTTTATATTTATATTCTTTACATTAAAAATGCCAGGGATTTACCTTTTTCATGTAACATGCAATGTGTTTAGGCTTGATTAAATCATTAAGCTAAAATTCATATGATAAAATTATTTTGGCTCATTTTTTCAGTTGTGGATTTTTCAAAAGTAAGATATTATTTTACTTGTCATTTTAACATTTTTGCTGAAGCAATCAAAATACTGTAGACCTCTGGCCCATCATTTCAGAGCTCACTTAAATAATTTGTGATGCAATTGTGCTATAGGGGAAAGATTTATCTTTGCAAGGAAGCATCTCAGCATGAGAAGGAAAATTATTCTAAGCATTAGGTAATCCTTGGTTGTCGTAGTATTGTAGCGACAGGTTTCTCAACAAGATGACTCTTCATTAATGTAATATTCAAAAAGTAATTTGAATTGTTGAGTAAATGGCTTCTCTCAGTACTGTATGTTGTGTCTCCATTAGTAGCCAACTACAAATTCAATTTGCAGGCAGATTCCATAAAGCTTTTGTATTCTTGTGCAACTGAGATCAGCATTATCTGCTATAGATGATGGTTGAGTTAGTGCTGCTTTCTTAGATATAATATTTCTTTTGTTTTCTAGGGTGGGAATCTTCAGACTTACTAATGCTGGCATGTTGGAAGTTTCTGCTTGTAAGAAGAAGAGTTTTCACCCTCATACCAAGGATCCTAGGCTATTTAATGTAAGGGCAGCATATTAATTTTTAACATTCTATGCATTCACTGATCCACTATTCAAACATGCAGGAATGTGAACGTAGTATAAATAAAAATCTGACTTTTCCAATATAATGCATCCAGATGGTCCAATTCATATCACCAGCCAGCTTGGAGAAATCTCAGATTTATATTTTGGCAGGAAGATTGAAAAAAATGGCACCAGGACTGAGATTAGTCCAACAATACTTAGATACGTGTTGCAAGCTGTTCATTTCATACATCAGTATATTTGTTCATTTGGATAAGAAGTGAAAATTGCATACTGGAGCAAATTCAACCATGCCTGCAGTGAAGATACAGACATTCTGCAAAACTGCTAAAAGCAAATATTATCTTGCAGACGCATTGAGATACTTTTGCAGAGGGTCAGATGTAGGATGTGGAAATTAAAGTGGGTCATACCCATTTTCCTTCCAGATGTTTTGCACTGCAGTCTGTAGAATTCAGCGTTTGTTAACAAGATAGTCTTGAGAGCCTTTTCTTCACTATTCCTATCTTGTTCATACTCTAAACCTCTGTAAAGGTAAAGTATATACCGCTCTGTGAGTGAGATGGATACGCTCTCAATGAGGATGCTTACCGCAAGCGGGTAGCAAGTTTAGTGAACTGGTGTAACAAAAATAGCCTCATTTTAAACATAGGAAAAGATAAAGAGGTTATTATCGATTTTGGAAAAGGCAGGCAGAGCCACACACCTCTACGTATTAATGATTCACCTGTGGAGGTGGTTAGCAACATCAAGTTTCTAAGTGTGCTGCTTGGTCGCTCAACAGTGAGATACTGGTGAAGTAGACTTAGCAGCACCTGCATTTTCTGTGTCGCATCAGAAAAGTTCATCTTCGTTCTCCTGCCCTTACCACATTTTATAGAGGGACGATCAAGAGCATCCTGTCATATTGCATTACGGTCTGGTTTGGAAGCATTATTGCTTCAGACAGGAAAGCTGTGCAGAGTGTGGTGAGGATGGCAGAAAAGATCATTGGTAGTTCACTTCCTTCTATCCAGGACATGGCAGATAAGCGATGCTTGAGCAGGGTCTGCAGTATTGTCTGGGACACCACGCATCCTCTTCATGACCTGTTTTGCTTGTTTTACCTCCTGGGAGGAGGCTTCATGGTATCCAAAGGAGAACATCTAGATCCGGGGTGTCAAACTGGCGGCGGCCCGTGGGCCGGATGCATCATGCGCAAGCCATGCCCACCCTGGCTCTGCAAAGGCAAAAAAGGTCATGATGCATCACAATACATCACATGACGCGATCGAGTTTGACACCCATGGTCTAGATTCAGTCAATTTTGTTGCACATAGCATCAACATTGTAAACTCTCAAGTTTCTTCTTTCTATTACGTATTCAAAATGGACAGAGATTATATTAATATATATTAATGTGTGTGTGTGTGTTAATATATGGCACAGGTATATATGTATATAGTATGTATGTGAAGTATGGTTTTGGGTAGATACATGCTTTCTCTTGAGAGCAGGCAACAGAATTTCATTTTTAATTTAATTAAAAATGAAATTCCAGTGTGCTTGCAGCAAAAAAATGACAAGTTATCTCCAAATTTGATAAATGTCAAATCATTTGTTCAGAATTGAAATGTAAGAATGCCTCTGGAAAAAGATATATTGTATTAAAAACTAACACAGTTCCCAAGCTTGTTCAAGAGAATGGTTTGTCTGTTTCCATATAACAAAGATATAGAGTTAATAGATATTTATCCATTTTCAAAATGAAATTACTTCTCTTCCTACTGTAGAAACCAAGATTAGATGATAGCCATTTTCCCATGGAACTGTTTATATTGTCCTACAAAAAAAGTAAATTACCTTTCTTAAAGATGATAAACCTTTCTGTATCCCAGCATCCTCATGGTTTGTTATGGAGAAAGTTAGATAATCAGAAGAACTAGTTCTGTTAAATCATGTATACCACCAAACAAGATGAGCAATATGGTTAGGTTTACACTGACCAGTAATCTTGGAAGTAGGTAGCAGTACCTGAATAATGTTGGTTTTTAATATCTCAAGAACTAAACCAAGTTAGACCTTGAACAGAAAATCTTCAGGAAACTTCAGTTTATCAAGTTGCGTTTAAAAAAGCAATCCCAGAAGCTGAACAAGACAATTATATAGACGTGTGAATGAAATCACTAGGAGTCCAGCTTAACTCAAGGAAATCTTTATCTTCTACAAAAGAAGAAAGAACAGAACATGGCTGTCTGAAAATGCACCTTTCAGTGTTGCAGTTGGATCGCAGCCTTAGGGAACCTTCACCCTCAGATGAATATCCCAATGAAATAAATCCACATTTCCCTTAAATTGTTGCAGATTTAAATTATTTAATTTTGCAGCAGCTGCCTAATGACAGATAATCTAAGATTAATCTGGTGTTTTCTTTTGCAGATCTGCAAACATGTCATTGAAAAAGAGATAAAAATAACTGTGCTGGATCTGAGGTGATACAGAGAGAAGAATGCCTTTGGTAAAACATATGGCCAAAGGAAAACAAGGCTGCCAGGTTTTCCTAGTGTTTTCCAAGTTACTGACATTTTATATTTGTATGTTCTGAATTTAACAATTTGATATTTATTGCCCTTTTCTCATTTTGAAGTTATTTCATTGTACAGTCAAAATGAAGCTCACGGTGACATTCAGTCCGGGTATGTTATTTTATTGGAACAATATGACAATAAAGTGAACTTGACACAATGACAGTCTTGACCCCTTTGCAATTTTTTTTTCTCCCCCCTCCTCTGGAGTATATATGATTGTTTTCCTGCCCTATAAGTATTCTAAGGGGTGTCTAAGTGTGACATGTGAATGTTTGCAGCATGTTTAAAAATACACTAGCTATAAAATAGAATGGGAAATATGGAAAAAAGAACAGACTCACTAACAGGAACAAAGCAGATTCTGCTGAGAAACACAGGGAAAAACTGCTCAAATAATAAAGTGAACTATGAATGTGTGAGCTCACAAACACCAGTTCCTTCTATTCAATTAGCTTCAGTCCCAAACACCTGCTGTAGCATTACTAAAGGGCCAGTGTTGCCTCCCTATAAATTCACTGTAGAAGAAAGAACCTCAAAATAATACTGATTTTTCTGAGTCAGAGCAGGTAGAAGTCAGAGGACACGGAGAACTGAAAACTAGATATAACCAGAAGACTTAGGGAGGAATGGCAAACAATTCTACTTATACATAAATTACAATGTGTCTAAGTCTTAAATGTAAAAAATAGCTGCTATCTTTATGTGTTCTCCAGTGGATGATTAAGGACAAACTTCCTTTAATCAAGGTTCAGGTTATTCACTATTGATAGACCTTTAATGCAAATATCGACTAGTATAATGTTGATCTGCCATGTCTCACTCTTTTTCCAGAGGAGAAGGAATACTATTTACTCCAAGTAGAGTATGAAAAAGTTGAGATTTATTAATAAAAATTCAAAGCACCTGAAAAGCATGTTTACAATTCTTTCCTCCTCTGCCCCCTAAAAACCTCAAATACATCTTATTGGAAACCCAGCTAATTGTACGGAAGGTACTTGGGGTAGGCTAATTAGAATATTTTTCACAGAAGGGGAAGCAACTCAAAAGCATTTGCGGTGAACAATGGATGGGCCAGCTTCATCGTACTCTGGTTTGCTGATCCACATCTGTTGGAAGGTAGAAAGAGAAGCAAGAATAGATCCTCCAATCCAGACCGAATACTTGCGCTCAGGTGGAGCAATAATCTGAAGGAAAAGGATTGAACAGATCTAATTGAATCACTTCAAACAGACAATGTTACAGATTATGCAGGCATCATTTTTCACAGAAAGCGTTGCAAAACTGGTAACAGAGACTTCATATCTGTAGGTAGTTATGTATCTAACCCAAGCAAATGTGTTTATTTTTGATGTTGTTGTACATCTAAGGGTGAGATTACACAAATCATTTTGGACAGAAAAATGAACTATACTCAGTTCCTTTAGACTCTTACAGAAGTTATCTACTCTGGTTGCATTGCTTATCTATTGTAATCTATGAAGATTCTGCAAAAACGGGAACCTTTTTCACGAGGTTCTCTGTGGATAAAGAAACATGATACGTACTGAAAAAATGATACTGGCAAGTTAAATCCAAGCACTACTGATGTGATGAATCTCCTTATGGGAACTTTCTTTCAACATCTACATGTTCAGCTAAGGAATTTAATTTATCCCAATGAAATGGTTAAAAACAAAATACCATCGATAATTCATTTTGATTTTAAAATATGAAGTTAAATCCAAATTTGCTTATTTCAATTTATAATTTTCATTTTTATCCAAGATTCCTTTTGCTGGAATGTTAGTGCTTTGCGCTGCATTTTGTTCGCGTTTTTATTGACTTGTATTTGAGTGCATATTGCTGCATCCCCTCGTGTGGCTACTGTAAGATGAAATCCATTTCATACTGAAGATCCAATTTTCTCAAGGCAAAATAAAAGTGTCCGAGCCAAAGGAAAGTAAAAATAATTTTAAATTATAAAATCAAATCAAACAAAAAATACATTTTCAATAACCATTCCCAGTTCAGGGGCAGAACTGAGAAAATGTTCGGTTTAGGATTTTTTTTGTGCCATCAGCTCACTGATGACTCCCAAATATTGCTGAACTACAATTCCCAGAGGTCCTAGCATGGCTAGTGATGAGGATGCTCACAGCTGCATTTCACCAACATCTGGAACATAGCAGATTCCTCATCTCTAAAAGTCCTGACATATCATGTAAACATAGCCATCTCTGGCACTGTGAATTATGCAGTGATCAATCAAACTATACCTTTATTTTCATAGTGCTAGGAGCCAGGGCAGTGATCTCCTTTTGCATACGATCTGCAATGCCAGGATACATGGTGGTCCCACCAGATAGGACATTGTTTGCATAAAGGTCCTTTCTGATATCTATATCACACTTCATGATGCTGTTGTAGGTAGTTTCATGAATGCCGGCAGATTCCATACCTGAGGAGGATTTCAAAAGGAAACCCTTGTTAAATATTCTAAAATAACAAATTAAACTTGTTAAATCTTTTGACTTGTCACTTCAGAATGATTTACAATCAAATGTTGAAAGTATTTATAACTTTTTACAAATAGAGAAAACAGAATCTGAAATAAAATTGCATGAGAACTTTATACAGGTAGATTTATACATTTTAAGATTGCTGAATACCAGAAATCTGGATGGACAAATTGACTTTTTTATAGATGTCAAAGGGTAGTCCTGTCAGATGATATGGTATGATGATAGGTGATGGGTGGGTGGGTGGGTGGATGATAGATTAGATAGATATTGGATGGATAGATATGATAGATTAGATGGATGGATGGATGATAGATACGATGGATGGATGGATGGATGGATGGATGGATGGATAGACAGACAGACAGACAGACAGACAGACAGACAGACAGACAGACAGACAGATAGATATAGATGGATGGATGGATGGATAGATGATAGATAGATAGATAGATAGATAGATAGATAGATAGATAGATAGATAGATAGATAGATAGATAGACAGATAGATAGACAGATAGATATTGTGTAGATCAACACTAGAGGCAATATGGTGTAGTGGTTAAGACACCAGGGTAGAAACAAAGAGGTTGTGAATTCCAGTCCTGCCTTATTCCCAGGAGCCAGCTGGATAACATTGGGCCAGTTATTTTCTCTCAGTACTAGAAACCACTTCCAAAAAGCCTTGGCAAGAAAAATTCAGGAACTAGTCTAGGCAGTCACCAGGAACCAAAACTGACCTGGAGCACACAAAAATATAACATTATGTGTATATATCAACGTACCAATGAAAGAGGGTTGAAAGAGGGTCTCTGGGCAGCGGAATCGCTCATTCCCTATAGTAATCACCTGACCATCAGGTAACTCATAGCTTTTTTCGAGGGACGATGAAGAAGCAGCAGTGGCCATCTCATTTTCAAAATCCAGGGCAACATAACAGAGTTTCTCCTTAATGTCACGGACAATTTCACGCTCAGCTGTGGATGAAATTTGAAGAAGAGATGCCTGCATGAACTCCTGTTCCATCAGATACAAGAAAAAAAATGCAGACTTGTGGTGTTTGCTTTAGCTGTAGTTTAATATTTATGCTGACTGAAACTAAATAAACCAATTCAACATTCAGCATTTTTATCATAAATGTATTATCCTGAAAATACTCTGAATTGCCAAACATTTTTAATTTTGTTTTTCTTTAATTTGTCAAAATTAATCGTTCTAGATGGGCTTGTCTAAGTTCAGGAATTAAGAGGATTGGAAAATAAAACCTACTATTTGGTTGCTACTATTTGGTTGCTATTGTATTGCAAAGTGTCAGATTCAGGCCTGAAAGTCTAGGTCCACGGGTGAAGATCCATTTCAATTGATTTATTCAACTCAATTGAATTGATTTATTGCTAAACAACTTAGGCATAGAAACCTGCTTGGAGTTAAATAAGGGTCCACAGAATTCAAGGGGAGGGGGAATAGAACTTGTGGCCACATAAGGATTCTATGCTGATTCCTTTCTTTAAATTCCACCTCCAGATTCTCCATTCCTCCTACAAAGTGTTTCAATTTCAATATTTAAGTTTCAATATTAAAAAAGAAAAACCCTATCCAATTTTAAATATTTGAATTTAAATTTAAGCAGTATTTTTCCATGAGCTTTTTTGGCTGGGGGATATATATATATTTGGGATATATATATATATATATTTGGCACATTCTATTCTATGCCCTAAAGAAGACTTCCTGATTGCAGGGCTAGTAGCTACATGAAAAATGACAGCGTGAAATGAGAGCACCATCCCTGTGTGATAAAATTCCCCTTCTTCCCCTTCTTGTTCTTTCTCTTTCTCCAGTCCCCTGAAGCACCAAACTGCTTAATGAGGTTCTCCAAAGCCCTGGAACTGGTATGCCGTAATAAGATAATAAGGATAATAAGAAATCTATCCTACACGAGGATAGACACTATTGATTACAATCCTCTATGAACAAGGATCCCTAGTTCAAAGCCTGTAAGATGCAGCAGGGATTGTCTTTAGTATACAATTCTGATTTTATGTCCCCAAAGGCCATAGGTTAGCAGACAATGATTCAGATGTAAAGAAATGTAGCAATGCAATTTCTCATCCTGTGCCAAACTACAGTATAATTAAAATTACTCTTTGCATAAAATAATTTATTGCATCTGGATAAGTGCCAATTTCTGCTCCATTTTTTTCAAACTGTAACTAGGGGATTTTTTTCTTGAGGTTTCTGAGAAACAAGCTGTGGGTTTGTCAGGAAAACAGTATAAAAGGCAACACATTTTCCTCTAAAGAGAATTTGGCACCAGCTTATGCAAGGAACAAGTTCAGTGATCTGTCTGTATTCTGACTGCCAACAACAGTCCATTTGAATCCAGTCTCTAGGCCACTCTTTTGAAATACGGATAACATGTACCAAATTTTACATCAGGAAAATATATAAATTGGATTCCTTATGAGAATATTTGAAAAATAATTTGTTTTATAATACACAGTAGGAGCATATAAAGCTCTATGTCAGGGAAGATCATATGTAATTTCCTTACCAGTAGTAACAAATGAATAGCCACGTTCTGTCAAGATTTTCATGAGGTAGTCGGTAAGATCACGGCCAGCCAGGTCCAGGCGCATGATAGCATGGGGCAGAGCATAGCCTTCATAGATTGGCACATTGTGGGTGACACCATCACCAGAGTCGAGCACAATCCCTTGAGGGAACACAAAACAGGTTTTGATTGCCTTCAAGTCAACTCACTCTCATTCATGTTCTAAAGACCAAAGCAGGTTCTCATTCTTACCTGTTGTACGTCCAGAGGCATAGAGAGACAGAACAGCCTGAATAGCAACATACATGGCTGGGACATTGAAGGTCTCAAACATAATCTGAAAATGATAGGAAAAAAATGAATAAATCCTTCCCTTGGCTTATTTTAATTTGAACACCCATAGGCCATTTTTCTAAACCAGGCATTGGGCTTGCAATGTTATAAAATATTTTGTAACTATATTTAATAGTCATTGACAGTAGATGCTTATTAGAGGTATATAACTACACGTCCCACAATTCTGCGGTTCTATGCAATTACTGATATAATAGGCCATAAGGCCATTCTCAATCTCTGAGGGAAATGGGAAGTTTAGAAATAGGACATGTAAATAGATGACAGGCAGGCAGGCAGACAGACAGACAGACAGATGGTAGATGATGAGAGAGAGTCACTTCAATTGTGAGATGGGCCATGTATAAATATGATAGATGATGATGATGATGATGATGCATGTGTGTGTGAGAGAGGGGGGAGGGAGGGGGAGAGAGAGCGGGGGGGAGAGGGAGAGGGAGAGAGATCAGCCGTGTTTGGCAGTTCATCAATTTTTCCATCTTTGTTTGACTATTTTACTTTTAAAGGAGTTTATTTTTAATTTTCTGCTGGAAAATCACAGCAGATTTTCTTGAAAGCCCTGTGGGCCACATGGAGCTAACTGTTTGTCAAATTGATGAGGCTGATTGGCGTTCTTTGACTTACTGGGTCACAATTGTGCGGACTGATAAAATTACCATTTAAAACATTGGAAAGCTTATTCACAAGCAGCAAGGATGACATCCGAACTATATGTACTGATTAAGAGCCAAACATAGCATCTGAATTTTATCTGAATCTAGTTTGTGAGAAATTTGCTTGCCTGAACAAAGATCAAAAATTAGAAATAGAAGAAATGGTCTCTTGTTATATCTGCTTCATGAACAAGTAATTCCAAACTCAAAGACAATTTCAGAAGGAATACAGGAATTTGTAAAAAGGAAGGAAGGAAGGGAGGAAGGAAGAAGGAGGGAGGGAGGGAGTTATTAATGAGACAGTAGTATTATCTGAATATCTTGGCTCCATTCTTTTCCTCAAAAACATAAATATGGATCACATTCCACAGGTGTATAGGGTAGAAACACCACTTTGGCAGGTTCTATTTATTTTTATTTTATTTATTTTGTCAATTGCTTACAAGATAATAGGTATAAGTAAAAACATAGTTATGAGTACATGGATACTGTTGAGGTAATTCCCCATTAGGAGAATGAGCGCATACAGGGAGATGTATAGAGAGTAGTGTTGGAATAATACACACAGAGCACACAGATACACTGTACAGTAAATGTAGGTTTTTACTTCCAGAAAGGTTTAAGCAAAGTCCAAAATAAGCAGTCCAAAGTCATTCACAAGTTAAATCAGTCAGTTTTCAATCCAGGGATAATCCAAATATCAAATTCCAGTGTCAAAAACAGTTCGGTATCAGACTTACATTAAATCTAGGAATATCAGTCAATTAGGAAAAATGGAGGAACAGCAATACTTTCCAACAGAAGGAAACAGAGATACACTCACACTCTCTTCTGAGACTGACCAAGACAAACCAGGTTTCTGGCTCCATCTTATGGCTGTTTGAGTAACCACACCCAATTGCAGTTTTTAGCATGCTCTTAAAGAGACAGTTTTAAAATGTTTATCCTGGTTTATATATTTCTAACCCAAATAACTGTTAGGTGACTCATATTCCTAACAGATACATAGAGGAAAAATTTAAAATAAAAGAAACAATAGGACAGGGACAGTAGGCACGTTGGTGTGCTTATGCAAAACATGATACTATATACCATTTACCTGTGTCATTTTTTCTCGGTTAGCCTTTGGATTCAAAGGTGCCTCTGTAAGTAAGGTTGGATGTTCTTCGGGAGCCACACGGAGCTCATTGTAGAATGAATGATGCCAAATCTGGAATAAATGGCAAAATGAACAGAATAGAATAGAATAGAATAGAATAGAATAGAATAGAATAGAATAGAATAGAATAGAATACTTTTATTGGCCAAGTGTGATTGGACACACAAGGAATTTGTCTTGGTGTAAATACTCTCAGTATACATAAAAGAAAAGATACTTTCGTCAAGAATCATAAGGTACAGCACTTAATGATAGTTATAGGGTACAAACAACAATCAAATCATACTAGGAAACAGTCAATATAAATTGTAAGGATACACCAACAAAGATACAGTCCTACAATCACAAGTGGGAGGGGATGGGTGATAAGGAGTGATGAGAAGATTAACAGTAATAGTAGGGTACACTTTGTAAGTAGTTGAATGGTGTTGAGGGAATTATTTGTTCAGCAGAATGATGGCTTTCGGGAAAAAACTGTTCTTGTGTCTAGTTGTTCTGGTGTGCAGTGCTCTATAGCGTCGTTTTGAGTGAAGGAGTTGAAACAGTTTATGTCCGGGATGTGAGGGGTCTGTAAATATTTTCACAGCCCACTTTTTGACTCGTGAAGGCAGGTGGGTAGTAATTGTTTTTTCTGCAGTCCAAATTAGTAGCATTATGAGAAACATCTCTAACTCAGCCCTACCCCCTGGACAATTTACCAAGAACAGCGTATAATGCATTTTGAGTTTCCAGAAAATGAGAAAAGAACCCTTCATCAAAGATATGTAAATGGAACTGAAAACATTAGAAACATTTTTGCCATAATAAAATTGTAAAAGTGAAGACATAATATGAAGCCATCTCTGATAGACATAGTTAAATCTTAGACAGATAGATTAAATCTATCACAATGGCAGTTTAAATACCTTCTCCATATCATCCCAGTTTGTGATGATACCATGTTCGATGGGATATTTCAGGGTCAGGATCCCTCTCTTGCTTTGAGCTTCATCTCCTACATAGCTGTCTTTTTGTCCCATGCCTACCATCACACCCTAAAAATTAAAAAAAAGAAGAAAGATACATGACCACATCTGTCTTGGAAGCAAACTGGGACAGAAAGCAAAGTTATTATCATTTCATAGCATTACTTTTCTCCAGAGTATAGCTATGATCCAGTATTCACCCACATTAAGCCACGGTTCGTGATTCCTTGACTGACATAATTATTGAGGTGTACATAACAACCAAACCAAAACCAAGTATGCCACAAGAGCAATTAGCAGAATAACCAAACACAGCATTGAGAATCATAATTATATATCATATAAGAGCTGAGGTGGAGCAATAGTTAGAAAGCAATACTGCAGAAGGCTACTTCTGCTGACTGCCAGCTGCGGGAAGTTCCAGGCTCAAGGTTGACTCAGCCTTCCATCTTTCCAAGGTCAGTAAAATGAGGACCCAGATTGTTCAGGGAAATATGCTGACTCTGTAAACCACTTAGAGAGGGATGTAAAGCACTGTGAAGCGGTATAGAAGTCTAAGCTATTACTAAGTGCTATTATATATATATTATATATTATTATATATAAATAATATAATATAATGATATGATACCATACAATACAATATGAGATGAGATGTGATGGTGATATGGCATAATATGACATGATGTATGATATTATGATATGATATGGTATGGCATGATATATAATTTATTCCTATATATATGGATCTTTGGTTGTTCGGGTTTTCTCCCACGTAACATTCGAAGTATCTAGGCAACGTTTCGATGAAGTCTCATTCATCATCTTCAGGCTTCTGTCTTCGGCTCTTCGGTTCATCTGTGATGAACACAATACAGAAGCCTGATGATGGCAGATGAGATTCTGCCAAAACGTTGCTACAACTTTAAAAGCACAACTACAATGACGTGGGAAAATACCCGAACAAAGCTGAATGCCATACATGTAAGTACCCGCGAAAACTTAAGAAAACATACACACACACACACACACACACACACACACACACACACGCACACACACTGTCCTGGATCACAACAGCTCTGAACCATTTAGCCTAATGTAACCTGAGATATTTTCAGTAATAGCTTTCTTGAATAAATGCTTTTCCCATTCCATTTACAGGAAACAAGAAGTGCTCTTTAGATTCTTCTGGGCTTTGCAACGTGAAATCCAATATTGATTACTCATCATTATTTTACAATCAATTCAATTTACATTCAGCTAATCAGGGTCCTAATAGAGAACAAAAGGGCCAGTCAACCAGGCCAGTTGAATAAGTATCTGCATAGAGTTTCTCTTCTGAACTGCATCCAGCAAATTATTCTGAAATAATTAGAAGTAAAGCTTTCCTCTTTTTTATATTTTTCCCTATTTTCATTCCTCCTATAATATGTCCTTGAGATAATCAATCTGTAGAAAAGCGTCAATTTTCTCACCATCTGTAGTATAAGTTACTCTGGCACTCCCTTTTGACCAAAGAAGAGAATAAAAACAATTCACTGAGATAAAATGAGCAGAGAGCCATCTGATGTAAACTTTGTACAGTCTTCAAGATTGTTCACTTTGTATTTGTATTTGCCCCGAATCAAGCCCATCTGTGTTTATATAGAAGTCAACCCATGTACCTCATATTAGATTTATTTCCAAATTATTGTATTTAAAATTGTAGCTTTTGGTAGAAAAAAAGAGAGGGTAATATTGAATCATCATCATCATCATCATCATCATCATCATCATCATCATCATCATCATCATCATCAATAGACTACAGTATAAGTACTCTTCATTTTACCACAAGAATTCATTAGACCATTTTATTGTCAGAATATCCGTGTGGGTAATTTCTGGTTTAGTTTGTAACCTGTACAGTCCTGATCAATTCCTACGTCCAGATCTGAGCAAGTATATTCTCCACTCTGTTCAGCTGATAAACAAATATAGCTTTATGTTTATTAATAATTAGTAAATTTGAAAATCAGCTAATGGCACAGAGGGGAGAAAAAAGCAGGGAAAGAAAGAAACGTAAACAAGGAAGAATGTAAAGTAGCTATAAATCTAAATCAAAAGGCACAGAACTTTTCAAAGCCAATGGAAACCATACAGTAGGCAATTAACATGGTTAATCCCAAAGGGAAGGGCCTTTGATTATTCCAGCTTTGAGCCATTTATGTATATAATGCCAGCTGAATAGGAAAACAGCAAATGGCCCTTCCTCTATTTTACCACATGAAGGAAACAATTTGGTGGACAGGGATGGTTTATTGAACATATGTCTCATATACTTCATTAAAAATTTCAGCAGCTTCAGATTTTTCATAAGCAATGACTCTGAAATGTAATATCCATGACTACTTAGAAAGGGGGAGTAAGTAATTTTATCAGATTTGTTGTTATTTTATATTTCATTTCCTGGCAATCCTAAGACACATCTTTACCATCATTTGTGTGTATCCCACCTCCCTTCATACTACTTAAAATATATTTGCTTTTTTGTAATCAAAAGCAACAACAATCTTCTCTGAAGAAGAAATGAAAAGAAGTTGCCAATTTCCTCAGAAAAATTGTTAATTTCTAAGATTGTCTATGGAGATTCTCAGTCATCCAGCTCATGGTTGTCCCAAATGTGCTTTTTTTAGGAAGCAACTGGACTTTTTTGTTTTGAAGACGTTTCACTTCTCATCCAAGAAGCTTCTTCAGCTCTGACAGGATAGTGGAGAATGGAAGGATTTATATTCCTTGCAGACAGCTGCTCGTTTGCATCCTTTTAGAGGGTCGTTGAAGCACTTGGAGGTTTATCTGTGTCCTCAGAATATAAATCCTTCCATTCCCCACTATCCTGTCAGAGTTGAAGAAGCTTCTTGGATGAGAAGCAAAATGTCTTCAAAAGAAAAAACGAAGTCCAGTTGCCTCCTAAAAAAGCACCTTTGGGACAATTTCTAAGACATCTGTTCAAGAATCTGACTGAAAAGTCCTCTTTATATCAACTGCAGTAATCTAAGATAAATGACATGAGGGTGGTGTCATGGAGTTGAGCATGTCTACAAGTTTCCCATAGTTTCATTTCAAATGACTCCTTTGATTTCTTTGCTAAGCCACTGAATCATTTACCTGATGCCTTGGACGTCCTACGATGGAAGGGAAGACAGCCCTGGGAGCATCGTCACCAGCAAATCCTGCCTTACATAGGCCAGAGCCATTATCGCAAACCAGAGCCGTGCTGTCCTCTTCCTCACACATCTTCTAGAGTCACTTACTAAGACTTTCCACACAGGTATTGTCCTACAAAGAGAAGGGAGAAGATCCAATGCAAATATCCAGTCAATAAAAGACAGCTGAAGATGCATTAAAATATATAGCTTCACTTTCTGTTTGGATAGGCACAGGGAAATCAAAGAGCAATAAAGGAATTGCTTAAACTCTTAACTTAAACTTTCTAACTTAAAGGAGAAGAGAGGCACTTGACACAATACTCCTAAAAGCAACCTGATTAATTCTAGATGGGAGAGCTAGATGTTGGGAGATGCAGCTCAGCAAACTCTGGGGGTTTCATCTGCTTAACTTAAAACTAGTTCTATTTTTTAACTTAATGAATGAGTTTGAGCTCATTTGAGCTGTACCTGGCCTGCAGAAATCAAAATGAGCACAAGATGGCAGCAAGGAGATTAAGACTACTTTAGCTCTTTGGCTAATCTTCTTGATTTTTGCAACCTAGATAAGGTAACCTGAGCAAAAATTGATTACCCGTATGATAAAGCTGCAGTTTGCACAGTTTGGTCTAGTGGTTAAGGCACCAGGCTAGAAACCAAGGACTGTCTGAACTCTAGTTCTGCTTAGGCAAGAAAGTCAACAGGATGGCTTTAGTCCAGTCTCTCTCTCTCATCCCAATCCAATTCTTGAGGTTGCTGTTGTGGAGGAATATTAGGTATATTCATTGCTTTGAGTTATTTATAAAAATAGTAAAGTCAGTAATTAAAAAAAAAAGGTAGTAATGCTTAAAATGTATTAAGACAGCATATAAAAAAGGATTAAAGCTTCCCCTACCGTTTGTTAGCCCTTTAATATAAAGCTTTATTTTAAGAAGCAGAATGAATAAAGTGCATCTTTAAGGCATGGTTTTCAAAACTTGCAGAAAAAGAACAGAACGTGGTTTCTGAGTGCAGAAAATTTACCCTTCCTGATCATTTTCAACTTTCGTTCTAAAATATATAAATTTCTCATTTGATGAGGAAGAGAAAGATATAATTTCTTCCAGGTAGCTGATGGCTTTTATATCTAATTATCCCCTCTCCCCATTTCATCCCTACAAAAATTAGCTTACTACCTCTTACATGTTTCCTACATTATCCCAAAAGAGAATAATGGATGGACATGTATTTAAAAAACTGAGAAAAGTAGATCATCAGATCATAGCCAACATATTTTAGTGAGCTTGAGTTGAGGTCAAATCTCAGACCTTCTCCAACATCACAGGCAGGATATCTCACAATCTTTTTGTTGTGATTCAAAATATGTGAATAACACCAAGAGAGAAAAGTAACACACCTCAAAAATCAGAGATGTAGGCAATTAAGTTTTTTGCTTTATTGATTGCTTAACATTTAAAAGGAATAACTAAAAATAGCCAGAAAGGCATGGGATAGGTTGATAACCAGATAATTGTCTATCAATAATTGTCTATCACCAATCAATAATTGTCTATGAGATAATTGTCTATCACCAGATAATTATCTATCAAATGTAGATAAGTTGATTATCAAGGCTGGGTTTCCCACATTATATGTGATGTGGAGATTCAAAGAGAAGAGGATTTTATTGGATTGCGTCTGAAGAAAAGGACACATATTGGAAGATAGAAAATGGGGGCACATGGAAAGGTTGGTGGGACCTCCCCCACATGTACCTATTCTCCGTGATTTTTATTGCATTTTCTTCCCTCAAAGATTCGTGGTGATGATATTCCAATGTGTTTCCCATCACAACAAATTTGCTATATTATAACAGTTTGTCCTCATACGGCTTTAGATCAGTTTGGGATTCAAATTATTGTACTACCGGTTCTGTGAGTGTGGCTTGGTGAGCTAGACGTGGTAGGCATGGCAGGGGAAGGTTACTGCAAAATTCCATTCCCTCCCCAGTCCCTACTCCATTAACCTGCTTTCCAGCTCCGTCCTCCTGTACAGGGCAACAAAAGAAGACCCAGCCAATCAGCTGGGACTCGGGAGGCAGAGAATAGATGGGGATAGGACAGTCAGAGGTATTTTCTGGTTCTCTGAACTATTCAACCGCTACCGGTTCTCCAGAACTGGTCAGAACCTGCTGAATACCACCTCTGCTTTAGATCCTGAAATCTGTTGAATGTGTTACTGTGGTTGTGTGAGAGAACCTGATACAAATGTTTTCTCAGCCAGGAGATTAAAAATACACATTTATGAACAGAAAATAAAAATTGAGCTCTTTTTAACAGCTTACAGTAGGACAAGTGAATTAGTGTGAGTTCAGTTTATGGATACAGTAGTGAAAATCTCACATTTGCAAATAATGATTTGTCTTTTTTGCAGGGGAAACCCACCTCAAAAATGTAATGTTGAACAAATCCGGTGTTGAATATTCTGTAGTAAAATTGCTTTTTATTCGCCATTACTTTTTTGAAAGGGTAAAATGTATACTGGAAAGAAAGAAAAGAAAAAAAGAAAAAAAAGAAAAGAAAAGAAAAGAAAAGAAAGAAAGAAAGAAAAATAATTTTCCAGAGAAATGCTGAAAAAATGCATTTTATGAAGATTATTCACTTACTGATAAACATTTACTAAAAACCCAGAATCTGCACCTATGCTGAAAACATCTGGCGGATTGGGAACAAACTATTTCCTAATTAGGAAACAAAGCCTTTTAAAAGCCTGTTTTTGGAAGAGAGTAGAAAAGGTCAAGGGTTCCTTGCCTCAAACTCTACTCAACTGAGCCAAAAAGGGAAATAATATCCTTAAAGGGAGGGGGAAGAAGGGAATGCTGCATTTCTGTTAGAGCATGGGGAACTCCAAATAAAAACCATATTTAGTAACTTCCCAAGCTCAGGGAAAATCAGGGAAACCAAACATTTAAGGCAAGACTTTTAATGATAGCCAAGCAGTCATTTTCAGCTCTAGGAAAATCACAGTAACTGGCAGAGCCCAGAACTCAGCACTAAACCTGCAAACATACATTGTGTGTTATAAGGTCTGCAAATAATTGTTGTATTTATATACACAAAGTTAAGCACAATCCCAGCACTCCCGCAGCCATGGTATACAACAACAAACACAAACTCTATTATAAAGTCATTGATTGTCATCAATAGGATTACCAGATCTGAGCTGCAAACTTCTGAACTACAAAAAGCCAGAAAGTGATTAGAATTTTCTGTGCTTTTTAATTCCATCTTGTGGTTTCCTGATTTTTGGAAATCACATCTAATAATCTTAAGGCATTGCTTGCTTGGACTAATTACAACAATAACACAGCAACAATGCCACTTTCTAGCCAAGCAAGCTACATATGTCAGAACAAAATATGTGCTACATGATAGCAATATAACTGAAAATCTACAGTGAAGCAATTGAAAAACACACCAAACAAATCAGTTCAAGAATAAGGGGAATAATTCAAATTCCACTTTAATATCTGTATTAGTTTCCCTTTAAACAGATTAGTCTCCACTGGCCAAGAATTCTGCAAAAATGTGTAACCACGGGAAAGGTTCGGGGTTTTGTGTTACCTTGACTTAAATTGTGTTCATACAGTCTTCTAGACAATCAATCAATCAAAGTCATAGACCAACAGACTTCTAGACAATAAAACAACTTGTTTGCAGTGATGGTAAATCCAGGGTTATTATTTGTAAACCATGGCTCATTACTAACAATCCATTATTATCAAAAATACGACTTATCACAGCTTACAGATCTCAGGAGTGGAGTTCATGTGTTAAGCAAACCTGAAGCATACAAGCCAGGTTATGGCTTTACATTTTACCATGTGTGAAGTCAGTCTTTGAGAAATCGAAGTGGCAATGAACCCAAAGACAATGAAGAAAAGACGGTGTGCAGTGAACATCTGAATGTGCATAAATACCACCACTCTCTTGCTTCACTGAATCCTAATATTAGCTATTATTATGTATAATAATTTAATTAAAGTTAAAATAATGATGCTGAAAATAAAAATAGTATGCAACAGATATGCATAATTTACCAAAACATGTAAATTAAAATAGTAGGAAGTTATATTGTATCACTGAGACAAATGACATTTCTGTTCTTCATATATATTTGTGTCTGGATTAATAAGATATAGAGGAACAGAGTTCCATAGACCTCCACTGCAAATTCCTTCTCTCTCTCTCTCTCTCTCTCTCTCTCTCTCTCTCTCTCTCTCTCC